AAAAAAAAAAAAAAAAAAAAAAAAAGAAAATATAAAAAGATAAACAGGAAGTAGGGAGAAGTTCTAGTAATTCCCCAAATTATATATCCCATGGTTTCAAAAATAAAAAGTCCTTCTGCCCGGCAGGCTGTTTTACCTCACCAGACATTTTCATAGCTCAATTCTCTGATGATTCAGCTTTCTAATACTTAACTTTACCTTACAGGAGCAGTTTTTCTTGACCTAATCTAAGTAAAACAAAATAATCTTCTCCCAGGACTCCCTATTTGCTATGTTTTTTTCACAGAGTTTATCATCAGCTGACGTTTTATATTTTTTCTCTCCTTTCATCTTCCCTGAATGTTTCATGATGGCAAGAAGTTTCTACTCACTCTTATTCCATTCCCAGTGTATGATACATAAAAGTTGATCGTTAAGTTTTTGCTGAATGAAGGACTATTTTGTTGACACACTTTAATACTCTCCCATTCCACTCTACTCTTCATACAACTTAAGCTTCTACAAAATGAGACAGTGGGAGGGTCAGGACATGTGAGACATCACAAAGGGGGAACCGCAGCTCCTCCTGTTCACTCGGGTCTTCAAGACGACCCAGCTCACTGAGCCAAGAAACCCCAAACCGTAGACAGCAAAGCAATCACCTGAGCGATAGGAACTGCGCACAGGGCCACGCCGAATCCAGCCACCACAGTTTTGTGCCATGGTCTCAGCAGTTCTGACCAACAGCGCTTTCTGGAGTTAGTCACGACAGGAACACATTGTCTGAGCCTAGAAACAGAAGTCAAATTTAATAATAAAGGCACATATACCAATCTGTACAAGACTGTTTTATTTACAGGGGTAGGAAACTCAAATTGGGCCAAACAGAAAACTCGACGACACAGGGGCGGCTCTCGACGGCCCCAAAGACCCGGTACACGGAGGCTGGAGCCGGGGATCTTCCGCCCCGCCGTAGGTTCTCGGTGTTACCCCTGCTGAAACCCGACGCCGAACAAACGCTTCCTCCGCGGGACCGGGCTTCGGTCCGGGCCGGACTCGAGGTCGCTGTGGGTCCCTTCTGGAGAAGCCCTGGAGCCAGCGTGAAGGTCCAGGGATCCCGCCCTCTGCTCCCCTCGGCGTCCCGCCCGCGCCGTTCCCAACGCCTGGTCCTCCCCGCTATTTTCTGAGGAACTTCGACGGGGCGAAGGGAGCCGGCCGGCTGCCCGGGCTGGGACCAGCTTTCAGAGCTCAGAATAACTGGAAAGCCGTCAGAAAGAAAGGAACCCGGCTTGACCCGGGGACCGAGGCGGGGGTCCTCTGACTTCCGAGAGGACAGCGCTCCACAGGCCGCCGCTCAGGGCCCGGCCACAGCGCTCTCAGCGTCGCCGGCTTCCCTCCCGCCCCGCCCATCTCCAGGGCAGCAGCTGTACCTGAACAGGGAGGTTATGCTCCGCGACAGCAAAATCCTCACAGAGGCCATTCCTCGGCGGG